ATATATATATATATATATATATATATATATATATATATATATATATGTAATGGTAGAACTTAGGAGACTGAGGCAGAGGCTTGTGATTTTAAGGCCAACCTAGCTACATAGAGAGACCTTATCTCAAAAACAATGACAAAAAGCTCAAGTAAGGTTTTCTTACTAAAAACATCCATTTCTATTAGTTGGGCACATGTCTAAGCTCAGCACTTGAGAGGCTAAGGAAGGATCATGAGTTTGAGCCCTATCTATAAAGTTTCTCTTACTTCCAACCCAACCTATCAAAAGCATGTACTCAAAGGAAGCCTTTTCTGGAACTCCCTGACCACATCTCTCTTGTGTCTTACTGGGTATATGAAATGTCTCACCATGTCCTGAGTATGGGTTTTTAGGTGAAATGTCAACACCACTGTGGGCATGAGACTGCTAGAACCCAGCAGAATTCCTGACACAGCGTATGCTAATAAAAACTCGATGAACTGAACCAGTAAAATTAGGAAATTATCCCAGAAGATATAAAATAACATGTTTGCCTTTAAAGAAAATGTCAGAGAAAGAATGTAACGTCACATTGATGCTTACATTGAAAGTAGCTTTGAGAAATTAGTAATTTGTACTAACACATTATCAGATGTGTTCTGCCATAAATATTGAATGCAGGGGCTAGTGAGGTGGCTCAGCAGGTTAAAGCACCTGACACCAAGCTTGACCTGAGTTTGATCCCTGGGTCCCACCTGATAGAACTGACTCCCAGAAGTTGTCCTCTGACCACATGTACACTGTGGCATGCGTTCCCCACCCCACCACACACAAAATAAATAAATGTCATTTAAAAATAAATATTAAGCAAAAGAAAAAAAAATAGGTCTGTTGGTCTCACTTGAATGGTGTTCTAGTATTATATTCATGGTTGTTGTAATTCCAAACATGTGGTTTATACATAGCTAAATAAGTTATTCAGATACAGCTCATCACCAGAATACAAAGTAGCTCCAAACCATTGAGTATTTTCAGTCTTGATAAGGTGTCAGAAAATAACCAGGACTTATTTCCTCTGGCCCACACTGCTCATGTGTTGGGAACCTCAGATAAACCTCTGATACCTACTGGCATTTTAATAGTAGTTACTTCAGTATTGACTATTTACCTCCTGTTCATATTTCTAAAATTCTCTGGGTGGAGAGATAGCTCATCAGTTAGGAGCACTGGCTGCTGCTTTTCCAGTGCACCCAGGTTCCAATCCAGCACCTACATGACTGCTCATAGCCATCTGGAACTCAAGTTCCAGGGCATCCAACACCCCCTTTTGGCCTCTGGGGGCAGGAGGTGGTATGCAGACATATATGCAGGCAAAGTACCCGTAGACATAAAATTAAAAATAAAATACTTTCTTTCCAAATGAATAATAATATTAAAAGAGTTGTGTTGCTTTAAAATTGGTGTTTCTTGTGTTGAAATCATAAGTCAACTTGAAAAGGGATCAGAGCAGCAATATGGTGAACGACCCGAACTTGGGCTGTGTATCTAGGTTTGTTGCTGTGTATGTTTGAGTCAGCATCTTTTTATGTATCCCAGGTTGACCTCAGACTTGTGGTTCTCCTGCCTCCGTGTCCTGCATTCCTGGATAATTAATATTCCTGTCCAAATAATCCTGGATTATTTGGCATATATCACCAAACCCATCTACAGCTCTTATATTTAAACAAATTCAAGGAAAAATCATAAATAAAGGACTAGAGAGATGGCTCATTGATGAAGTGTACTGGCTTCTATTCAAGAGGACCTGAGTTTGGTTTCCATTAACCAGGCTGGGCAATGCCAAGGGAATCTCACACCTTTGATCTTTGAGGACACCAGCGCTCATGTGCACATGACCGCACAGACACATAATTAAAAATAAAATCTTTTTAAAAAAGATTGATTTATATATGTATGAGTGCTCTATCTGCATGTGTATGTACAGGCCAGAAAAGGCATCAGATTCCAGTATAGATGGTTGTGAGCTACATGTGGTTGCTGGGAGCTGGACCCAGGACCTCTAGAGATGGCTCTTTATCTGCTAAGCCATCTCTCCAGCCCCAAAAATAGTCTTTACAAATATGAATTAATAATACTGGGTACTTGAGTATTTTTCTTATATATTTTCATTTCAAATACTCAAACTTCAATATAACAAACATGTTAAAGTTATGTGTACATGTAGATGACTTGATGAGAGAATCATGTCCTACCCAGGAGTAGTAGCGCACGCCTGCAATTACAGCACACAGAGGCAGGACAATTAGACCCTGTCTATCACTCCATCACCCCCACAAAAAAGAAAATTTCAAATCAAAGAGAATGTTCTATTAAAGGAAAATGGGCAGAATTATGAGTCCTTTTCATGTTCATTTATGTATTCACGTGTGAGTGTGCCACAGCACTTTTGTCAAGGTCAGATGACAACTTGCAGAAATCTTCTTCCACAGTATGTGTCCTGGGAATCGTTTGTGCCATCAGCTTGACCGTGTCTTTAACCAGTGAGCCATCTTTCCTGCCATCCTTTTATTCCCTTTCCTTTCAGACATTTTGTTTTGAAACAGCGTCTCACTGTATATATAGCCCTGTCTGCCTTGGGATTAAAGGCATGTCACATGATGGTTTTACATAGCCCAAGTTGGCCTCATCTCCCGTGTAGCTGAAGCTGACTGTGGACTGATTTTTATGCCTAAACTCAGGTGCTGAAACTGTAGGCATGTGCTGCCTTACCCAGCTTGTAAGCCTGACTTCTAACATAAAAGTGCTTTATCTTGAACTGTAGTGACAACACACACCTGATATTCCAGCATTTGGGCTGGATGATCTCATGTTTAAAGGAAGCTTGGGTTTTGTGGTCAAGATCCTATCTTAAAGATCCCCTCATTTCTCTCTCTATATATATACTTTTCACTTTAAAAAATGTTTAGGACATACAGTTCATAAAATAATGAGTTTCATTATGACATTTTCATACATGTTGATTGTGTTATCTCCATGTCCCATCTTTTTCTTCTGATTCCCAAATACTCAACTACTCCCCATTCTATGTTCTTGTGATTTTTAATCTGGATTTTGAATGTGAGAGAATAACTATTTGTCTTTGGGATCTGACAGCTCATGTAACATGATCCTCTCTAGTTC